CCCATCCCTTCTGTTCTCATCTGTGAAATTACATTTGTAGCTTTGCCTCAAAACCAGGCTCCCAAACAATCCCGCGCCGGAGCTGGGAAAGGAACAATGCTCCCCAGCCTGTGCTTAGCAAGTAAGGGCATGACAAAGCAAAAGGCTCGTATGTGCACTGAGCAGCCTTGTCCTTTGATAGGGCAGCAAGTGCTTGGATGATACATTTACTGCAGCTTGCACTGCATCGTGCCTGCCCGTGTGTCATCTCCATAGCAGCAGTTCTGCTAATTGAGACCAGCTGCTTCAATTCCAAATTCTTCTCTCCAGAAATATCGATACTACGACATTATGATTAGAAAGCACTTTACCAAATGCCTTTCAATTCTGCACAGCTCAGATGAAGAGCAGCTGCAGAAAGAAGGGACAGTTCCCTGAACGTACAGAATAAAGCACTGCGAAAACACTGGAGAAATGAAGGCTATAAGAAGCAAGTCAAAACAGATAACGATGGCAGAGAAAGCCTGCTGCACATGCTTGCGCCTGTCATTTTATATGTTGAAAGGACCATGAGCAGACTTCTTCCTTATGCTCTAGGATAAATGGCCACAGCACTGCAGTGTTACAGCTTCACACGGCAGGTGTGCGTATTTGTCAGATCCAGTTTTTCTGTCCAAGGATGGATTAAAGCAAAACCCATCAATCTGGGTCTGGTTTGGGAGAGTAGCTGTAGTCTGGTGTCATTTGGCTCCAGGGACTCTTCTGCACAGCCTACTGGCAAAGACAGTCACTGGAACTGATACGCTAGTGGGAAGATTTGCAAAGTAGGAATGCCACCATACCACCATGGCTTGGTTTCACTCTTGGCTATTTCCCTGTGGCTGCTGACTCCACGCAGCAATCTGTGAGCTGGATGCTTGGCAATGGTCACAGTGGGACTGATGAAAGCTGCAAGCCTTTTTCCCTTTCAGCCAGGCTGGATTAAGCTGGCTAACAGTACAGAAATTCCAAATTCACTTAGAAGTCTCAGGGCCCATCTGTGACCATCAGGCACAGGGCATTC